TTTTTGCTGTCTTTGGCTTAGCTAAATGTGCTAAAATTCCACAATTGCAGTTAGACGATAAACCTTTTTTCTACGCTTTCAATCGTAGCTACAAAAGATCTTGTATTTATTTGTTCCTGTAATCCGAATGGGGCGAGCTACTTATTTTGTACGTATGAGCTACAGAACTTTTATACCAATGACATGTGTACGTCAGATGATAAGTTAAGATTGCTGTACGACCCGAAAAAAAGGTAATTTTTTAATTTTTTGTTTTCACTACAAAAAAATAGCTCGCCCCATTACATTTTATGTCTATTTCAATCCTGTAAAAGCGATTTTAATTTCATTCAGTATTTTTGAAGTTATCGTTCCAACTGGTGTCAGCTTTAATAATATCTCGTCGGTGAGTCAACCAATCGAGCGTCACACTGGTCACACAGCACGTCACAGAGAGATACGGCCGATATGGCACAGATGGCGCGCATGATGCCTCCGTGACGCGCGGCTGATTGGAGTGATTGGTCATTGGACCAGTGATCGCAGTCCGTGGCAGTCTGTAAACCGTCGCGGACGTGGTTACGTGTCAATTCGATTTCGAGGTACCATCATCCGGAGCGGCAGAGGTTGGTTCGCTTATTTGCGTCGCAGAAAATGCTGATCGATAGGGGGGACGCGGATTACGTTCGACTTTTTATTTTTTTTCTCTATTTTTCTATCTTTTCTCTCTCTCTCTCTCTCTCTCTCTCTTTCTCTTGCTTCGACAATAAGCGTCGCGTTGCACGGCGATACACTCCGGCTTTTTCGAAGCAAAATGGAAGGGAACACCGATGGTGTTTCCGACCGCCTTGTACGCGGGCGGAATCAATCTGTCTGCGACAGACTACTCGCGGCGACGATCCGCGCGGAGCGCGCTCGAGTAAATAAAGGCGCACGTCCGGCATGTTCGCCGTGTATACGTGTGGCACTTGTTCTACGCCGCCGCTTTGGCGCACTTTGCTCGGTGAGACTGTTTGTTTCGTATCCCTCCCGAAATGGGTATAAACAGAGAGATAAATTTTTTTTTTTTTTCGAAACGTCATACGCCGCGTCGGCGACTGGCCTTCAGACAGACCCTTGTACGGACATTTTGACAGACCGTCTTGGCGAACAAAAAACGGAAGTTCAAAGGACATCCGAGAGAGAATGGGCACACGTCTTTTAAATATCACGTCGTTCGATCATTCGGTCACTATATATATATATACATATATATAGTGTTCTTCCATTATCTGTTATCTCTTTCGTAGGTGTGTATTTATTTCGTGTGAAAAAAAATGCATAACGCAAACCGAGAGAGGAAATTCTATTAGATTGTTGATTCTTAAGATTAATTGTTGCTGGCGCAGCATGACATTGATCTTTAATCCGTTCAATGTGGATCAGTTATTTTTAGCGCTTGATTCGAGAAGCATTTCTTCAATGAAACGCTGGAAATTCAATGGAGCTCCAGAAATCAATATAGGAATCTATCGACGATCATATTAGTTTTATTTCAATTTTTTTACTGGCCAAGTTTGAACTTTTATATAATATTAATATTACATAAAAGTTTTGTGTTAATGACATATTTTTATGCATCGTCGTCTTTGTGAAGATACAGAAAATGATTGATAGAATTAAATTCCTCATTAATAAATTTTCGCTTATCAAAATAATCGTTTTATCAGGTCGCGCGCGGATTGAAATGTTATATGTTTGCCGTTCCTGCACGGTGTGACAGTTTTAACACACGATAATCTCGCACGCGCTTTACGAATCGCAATTCGTTTCCCACGTGTTCCAGCGGTGAACAATCAAACCGCTTCTCATTTCGCCGCCTCGTCTCTCGTATCTTCGTACGCAAGCAAATTTTCAAGTGCCGATAACACGCGCGTTACATAATATCCTCGCGTTTCCACGGCGTCATGTTTTATAGCGTTTTATAGGCGTGACTCTGAGGCCACTCCGAGAATTGGACTTGATTTTCGTCGAACGCTGCGTTATTCATCAGGCCGAGGGTATACCTGGAATTCCGAGAACCCGCAGAATCCAATGTTTATCATGAATTTCTTCAGAGCATTTTTTTATTTTTATCATGTTTAAATCCCTTATTAACAAAATTATAGAAAAAAAATGAAGTAAATATCGCACGTGGAATTATCAAAACTCAATTCTTGGAAGGCTCTACCTTTTATCTTTGCATCTCGAAATTTCAGACGGACATTATATCCTGAGCGGGAAAACTGTATCGTATTTGTTCTGGATGCAATCCCACAGTAAATTCCAGTGAATCCTAAAAATACTCCAACCGGTCCGCTTAAGCGGATTATTTATTCAAATCTTCACGTCGCGCAGATTTGCTAAGCTTTTCGACGCTTCCTTTGAACGTAGAAGGACACTCATATTCTCTCTTCGGAGTCAAATTTATAGTCATTTATCTCGGCGCGTGACGTTTGCCGCATGACTATGCATAAACGCAACCCATCTGTTACTGTATATCTTCTCAATGCACTGCAATTATTATCATGCGGTGACGCGTGACAAGGACGCGTGCACGAGAGAGAGAGAGATAAGATTTCTAATAGTCGAAGAATGGAAACTATGGAAACTTCCCTACAAATTGGAAAAATTGTAATTGTTTATTATATTCAATAGCTTATCTAAGAAAAGCAGCTAGGTTAAAGATATTATCGACTATTGTTTGTTAAACTTTGCTTAACATTTAAAAAGTTTTTCCTATATATACAAAAAATTGTCCGTTTCTGCAATACAAATTTTCTTTCCTGTTAGCGAAAATTCGTTGTTTTGTAAAACTTTATCACGATAAACTTACTTTTAATATATCGATATTACTTACGAGGTAGAAGGTAAAATAATAGTTCTCTACTTTTTAGCAACCTCTATATCTTATCTGTTTTTCTTTAAATATTTTTTTATCACGGAGAATTTCTTATCTCTCCAAAAAAAAAAGTCGAGATAATTTCGCTCCGCTGAAATCTCTTGTAGAATTCTAATTGGCGTGGCCAACCGATAAAAGACGATACTTTGAAGATATTTTTGGTCCATGATATATAGATACAAATAACGATTATCTAATTTGCATTACGTACGTCATAAGCAGAGAGATATTTATGCGCGAGTTGTTGCGCGAGAATTATTAATCTATAGCCTTTTTTTCGCATCTTACACTTGTTGTTGATAACGAGAAACTACAATATTTGCTTTGCAAAAATGCAAAAGAGCGACGCTGAAGATAATTCTTATCGTCGTGTCACAAACGTCGCTCCTTTCCTATTTTAATTATAGTAATGTTCTTCATTTTCATTTTTACATTTAAAACATTTTAACAAATGATAACGAACAAACTTGAAGAAAGATAATCGTTTTATTTGCTAAACATATTCGCTTTATTCTCTTAGCCGGCGTTCTCTTTAGCGTACTGTCAGTTTTCCACAATTTCAAATATAGAATACAGAGATTATTTCAGCGTAAATGTCATCGATACGCGCACGAGAATTATTTTCTTCGAATTTATTTACGGACGTCACAAGCTTTCCGTATTTTGTAGAGTACAAGTCTTACAATTTGTACTTTGATCTCATTGACGTCAGCGCATTACCTAACTATAAGTACACGATAGTATTAAATTTAAGCTCCCAATCTACTTCTTGAGAGTCGTGTAATTCTTATCTATCTCAAATTATTTATTTAGCTTTTATAATCGGAATACTGTTTAGCTATTTTCCCCTCAAATTCTATTCTCTTTCTCAATAGCTGGTTTTTTCAAAATTCCTTCCATTTTACGTGATAATGCAGAAACCGACATCAAGACGATATCATAGAGTTATCGTAGATTGTATCAGAAACTTTCAAACGATATGAATGATCGGTTTCAGGTCGACGTTTGATAAGAAAATTAATCATAAGAAATTAAAAGGAATTTAGAATTTCTTCACGAAATTACGAATTTCTAATATCTTTAATTCCTAATGCGTTTAAGTCTTTTCTAGTGTGATTCATTTATAGTTTAAACAAGTCTTATGATCTGAATGTTTAAACTTTAAACATTCACATCGTAAGACTCCAAACTTTGTTTTTGTCAACTTAATTTCATAAATCAAATATGTTTACAGCATTGCCTTGTACCTGTGTACATCAGCGATAGGAAAAACAGAGACGACGATCTGTATGAGAGCTCATCGGTAACGGGAAATCAGGCCAGAGATGAGCGGACATGCAACCCGTCCCGGAGAGGGTGGCAAAGCGGTTCTCGAGCGTATTCAGGTGTCCGTGTTGCCGATCCCTGGGAAACACGCCACATCGACGTTGCCTGCCGCATCGGCCCCACCAATGGAGAGGCAAGATGTGGATATTACAGTAAGAAGCTCTATATTCGTCGATAAAACTAATATAAACAAATATTTGTGTATAGAATGGGATAGATCGCAAATTATCACAGATTGTCCCATAACGCGAAAACTTGTACGCATCAAAGACATTTTAATATCATTTAAGGGATCTCCACCACTCCTGAGGTTTTAAAATGATACCTTAAGTTTGAGATTTTTTTGTGAGTGAATAGATAACTTTTATTTCAAATCTGCTTAGAGGACATTATTGTACATACATAAGAAACCAAAAAAATATTTTTTTATTTTCTTATGTCTAAATAGCGACACACTGGTCTACACTTGCGGAATCTCTTTTTTTCTATCGGTGTACAGGATTCCAGGTACGCAGTTTGGACAAAACATAAAGAATTTTTATTGTCTACATATTAAAGACTAGAGAAGTACGTAGGGATTTTTCAAAATATTGATTTTTTTCAAAATTGCAGCTGTTTTACGAAAGACTTGTATCGACAAGAATACGAACTTTTTGTAAAAATAGCTGCCATTTCGAGAAAAATCAATATTTTAAAAAACGCCTACGTACTTCTCTAGTCTTTAATATGTAGATAGTGAAAATTCTGTGTTTTGTTTAAGATCAAACCGTGTGCCTGAAATCCTGTACACCGAAAAAAACAAAAAAAAGATTCCGCTAGTAGGCCATTGTGTCGCCATTTTGTATATAAAAAAAATATAAAAATATTTTTTTTTAGTTTCATATGTACAACAATGTCTTCTAAACAACTTTTAAATAAAGTTATCTATTTACCCACAAAAAAATCCCAAACTTAGGTACCATTTTAAGGCCTCAGGGGTGGTGAGACCCCTTAATGTAACATAAGTATACTTATTATCCATCTCAACACACGATAAAAAAACAGAAAAACAATATGTTTTAGAGCAAACAGAAAAAATCCACCGGAAAGGAGATTTCCAATACTCAAAGAGTCTGGACGAGTTTGGTGTCCGGTGCGATAGCGGGTGCTCTGGCGAAGACCACGATAGCGCCGTTGGATCGTACAAAGATCAACTTTCAAATTTCGAAGCAGCCCTACTCGGCCAGGGCGGCGATTGGGTTCTTGACTACAGCGATGCGTACCGAAGGCCTCCTCAGCCTGTGGCGCGGAAACAGCGCTACCATGGTCAGGATAGCACCGTACTCGGCGGTGCAGTTCACGGCGCACGAACAGTGGAAGAGAATTCTGAATATAAACGCGGCAAGGTATATACACGAAAAAAAAAAAAAAAATAAATAAATTCAGGGACATCTTTAGCAAACAAAGGAACACCGCTGTGACTTAAGTGAGGATACCGGGTGCAAATTTAATTCCTGTGTGTTATGAATATTTATAGAGAAAAGCCATGGGCGAGTTTCCTGGCCGGCGCGCTCGCGGGCGTTACGTCGCAGACCATGACCTATCCGTTGGATTTGATGCGGGCGAGAATGGCGGTGACCCTGAAGGCCGAGTACAAGACTCTGCGGCAGGGGTTCTCGCGAATGTACAGGGAGGAGGGAGTATTGGCGTACTATCGTGGTTTCACCGCTACGATCCTCGGTGCCATCCCGTATGCCGGTTGCAGTTTCTTCACATACGACATACTGAGAAACTTACTGACCGGTGAGTTCCGTTCACACGATGAATTCTCTTGACGCCCGTCGACGGTGGCGGTGCTTGTACTCACATATATACACATACGCACACGCATACATATATATATACATGCAACAAAGCGAAAAAGAGACAGTCGAGGGTTATACGAATGAGAGTGGCTGTTGTATATGATCGTAAAGCAGGGTATCGATGGGGCACGTCGGGGGCACCCTGTTTCCCCTGATATTGGGACGGTACTAACTTTAATAGCGACGCGAGACAAGCCCGACCGGCGGCGTATTTCGAAGTGCTGCGTGCTTCATGTTCGATGATGGCTACGTGTCGATGAACAGTGTACACGGTGACTATTCCGGGATTCTCGACCTCGCTCATTTGCGGCGGCATCGCTGGAATGGTCGGTCAGACAAGCAGCTACCCACTGGACATTGTGCGGCGGAGAATGCAGACGTCAGCGATCAAGGGCCAGCACTATCACACGATCACGTCGACTATCGTGAAAATTTATACGTAAGGATTTATGCATCATTTATAGATACTAATTTATTTAAAAATAAATAATAGTAGAGCGTAGCAGCTGTCTGTATAGAGTTACACTGAACGAATAATCAATAAATTATCGAAGTTAATTTACTGAAGAAACTGACAAAAAAAATAAATTATATATAATTCTAAATAATATCCTTTAAATTTGAAGAAACAAAGAAGATACTTAGATATACATTTAAATGATACATTTAATATTTAGAGACATTGAAATTGATACATTTAATAGTATGTTTTACTGTTTTTTTTTTATAATAAATGCAATTTTATATTTATCAAAATTATATTAAACACAAATTACCATTGTGCATGTTACAGAGAAGAAGGAATAATGGCTTTTTACAAAGGCTTGAGCATGAATTGGGTAAAGGGTCCTATTGCTGTCGGAATCAGCTTTGCCACGCATGACACAATACGGGACACACTGAGGGACGTTATTTGTGAAGATACATAGGATTAGTGGAACAAACATTGAAAGTCTGGGGTTTATCATGGAATAATGCTAACCAATAATTATAATTATTTAATAATTATTAATTATAATTATTGCTTGACTATTATCCAAATACGCTTATATAATTATTACTTATTGTTTATAATTATATAAGTAATAATTGTAATTAATATTACTAATTATTACATAATTTCATCATTTAACTCAAATCATGATGAATAAATATGTCAGCGTACATCTCCTCAAATTTTCGCTCGACAAAAAGAAACTAAAGAAAGTGAAAATTTATCGCGCCAAAGCGTTATCGACGGCAAGAATGTAAAATAATATTGCATCATTAACAATACGACAAGAAGAATAATTAGTTTGTTATTTTGTGTGAGAACATTTTGCCAAAAGCAACACAGGAGATCATTAGTACAAATTGTTAAATATGTACATATTGTTATTTCAAACATTATAGAAATTGTTGGAGAGATGTAATACGTATTAGATGCATACACCAAATCGTAATTTAAGCATTGTGCATTGGTCCAGTAATGTAGAAGTATGATTTCTACGTATATATTCTATATAGCTTATCTTTATTATCTTTGGATGCGATTTATATAAAAAAAATAGGATATCTCTGACTTGCCTTATAATTGTTTTACAAATTCTATGATAAAAACAAGCAAACTGTGGTATAATTTGCACTCGGAATTTTGTACATAATCGTGTATATCACACATTTTACTTTGAAGATCAAAATACTCAAGAGAATTCTCAATGATTTTCTTAAGCCCGTGTAAAATAAAAATATTGTACAGTTTCTGATATAAGTTGCGCCTTAAATTGACACATTCAGATATTTTATTCGATCATTGTTTATAGCGTAATTGGTTCATTTTGAGGCTGCAATGACTAATCCACATTTGTTTCTTCCACAAAGAGACTGCGAATTGATAGCGACAATAAGGTTTTACAAGTTGAAACATTGTAAAAACAGTTCGAACATAACGTTACATTGCTATGAATCTGTATAACAATTAATTATTGACAACAGTATATCTACATTACGATTTATCAGTGTTACATAATGGACTTGTATATTTGCTTTATTTACATTTCAGCTCTTACGAGATCGAATACTTTTTTTAAATATCTTGTACATACTCTTAAATGCCGTACTATATTTTATGTTAACAGTTGAAATGAAAAATGTAACAGAACGTAAAGAGGGGGAAATTAATCGCGTTTTGCATCGGTCGAAAAGAAATTGTTTTATGGCCGACGCAAAAAGTTGTTGCCTTCTCTATATTTTGCAATGCTTTATGTATTAACTAAATCTCTTTGATAATGCGTATTCGTTTTCTTAGCGATTGGTTTTTGAAAATTTTCAGAACATAAATTACAACACAGTGCAATGTAAAAAAAGTTATTTATTCTGTAAAATTTTGTAGCTTCTTTGCAATCATTGTATTGGTTATATATAATGTAAAGTCATTTAGTAAATATATAAATTTTATACAGTGCACGCTGTCTCTTATTTTACCTCCTATTCCTAATTGTATCTATATAATATCTTTGTCTGTCGTAATCTTATTAAAAGTAGAAAAGCCTTTATCTCTTAGGATCACACAGTACAGTATTAATTTAAACTGTAAATATTTGATATGCAATCTATGCATAAGTTACATTATTATTTTTTAAGTAAATGACCTAATTGTACGATATGAATATGTAATCAAGTCAAATAAAGTTTAATAAAATAGACGAAGAGAATCGTCAAAACATCGGTATGCTGGAAAAAAGCGTCGTGATATCGTATATGAAAATGTAAGAATAATCCATACGCGTACAAATTAGGTTTAATTCCTGAAAATCAAAAGAGAATATTTTTATAAAACGTACAATTTATTGAACCTATATATTGAGCCGATGTTACTTTCCATGAGATGCATATATAAATAAACACAGAATATTTACAATTATTCACAGAATGCGTTTCTACCGCCATTCGTTCTGCATTTTACGCATGGAAATCCATGAGTTTTTCTCATCGCACATCTTTGTCATTGTACCGACGACTTGTATAAACTTGCTGTTTACTTCGGTTTAGTCTCCTGATCGTTGACGTATCTTATATAAATTTCTCGCTCGTCACTGCCGCCCGGCGGTATCTCGGCCTCGTTTAAGTACGAAACGCCTATCGCGAGAACGGAACCGTCATGGCTAAAACTAAGCGCGGCCACGCCGGCGTTGTATCGATGGAACTGGCACAGCCGTTTCTTGTTAAAACCGTCCCAAATATTCACGTAACCGTCCGAGCCGCCGGTGGCGAACGTGTTGTATGCAGAATGGAAGCTAATGGCGTTCACAGGATAGATATGCTCGACATTGTTTTCCTTTATTCTGTGGCACTTGAACGCGTACTTCTTCTTCTGGGCTTCTGGCATCGTATCGAGATACTCGACGGCGACTCGACCCTCTATGCTGCTTAATACATATCCCTAAATATATAAAAAAAGGAATACATAAGAATATATAAAAAAGGAATATAGGGTAACTGTTCCTATTAGTGTGCCTGTACGTCCCTATTAGCTTTTATATTTAAATAAGTCATAAAAATAAACTACAAATAAATAGTGTTTTTTTTATTAAGTTAATACTTTAACTTAAAAAAAAAACACTGTATTTACTTGTACCAGTTTATTAGACAGTGTTTTTAAGTTAAAGTATTAACTTAAAAAAAACACTGTCTATTTACTTGTACCAGTTTATTAGATAGTGTTTTTTTTAAGTTAAAGTATTAACTTAATAAAAAAAACACTGTCTATTTATTTGTACCAATTTATTTTTATGCCTTATAAACTGATACAAATAAATAAACAGTTTTTTTTATTTAGTTAATATTTTAACTTAAAAAAAAACCCTGTCTATTTGTACCAATTTATTTTTATGACTTATAAACTGGTACAAATAAATAAACAGTTTTTTTTTTATTAAGTTAATACTTTAACTTAAAAAAAGTCTATTTGTACCAGTTTATTTTTATAACTTATTTAAATATAAAAGCATATTAAAACGCACACTAATAGGGACAGTTACCCTACAAGAAAAAAAAAGGAATATATAAAAAATGCGAACACGCTACAAGCAACAACAGATTAACGATGCGATAAATTGTGCGCTTTGCAAAGGACAAACGCACCTGTTCGTTCGGGAAACCCTTGATGCAGCGCGTTTGGTACTTCAGACTACTTTCTCGTCTCTGAAACATGCCCGCCATGTTTCTCAGATCCCAAATGCAAACTTTTCGCTTCGCCGTGCCCACGACGAACTTGTCGCCGCATACAGACAGGGCGAGGACCACATCGGGCTGCAGGTAACTGCCGACGCAGGTAGGTGTTCGTGGATCCCACAGTTTTACCGTGGCGTCCCAACCGCCGGTCAATATTGCATTCACAGCCGCGCAATACTCTATCTTCCTAATTGGCTTCTCATGTGTGCCCATTATCGACTCTGCGAACAGATATTTTCAATGAAATATTTTCACTTGCAATGAAAGTACAAAGTAAAATGATAAAATTAAGGAAGATGGTACCAGTGTTGCTATTTATGTCGTACATTTTCAGAGTATTTCCTAGACCACCGCTATACGCGTGAACAGCGTCCTGCAAACAATACAGAAAATCGTCAGGGAATTATTAAAAGTAATCATGATCAAAAGCTTTTTTTTAAATTTGTTAGATAACCCAATAACAAAGCAGAGTCATCTGACAGGTAAAGAGGACAGGGTTCAATTTTATCATTCTATGTAGATAGAGTGAAAAAATTTCAACGTATATATCAACTGCCAGAGTGCAGAAACAAATTCAAAATGAAACTAAAATGGTTTATATATATATACAGGGTGTCCCAAAATTGGCGCATTCGGAGTACATGACGTGATACTTTGTGCTAAAAGGAACAACTTTTTCCTTTAGCAAATTTTGATCTGACAAGTAATTTTGGCAGGAGAGCTAGTTAAAGTTAACGAATAATCGCTCTTGTCCATGCGCGCGCTCCTCCATTCACTTGTTCCTAATCCTTGGCTAATATTTACAAGTAATGTCTTAAGATACTAATACAGCTCTGTTATAATTAGTTTACGACATTTTAAGACTGTGTTTAAGACAGTCTTAAATATTAATAATTGATAATAATTATATTTATGATTGATTCTTAATATTTAAGACTGTCTTAAACACAGTCTTAAAATGTCGCAAACTAATAACAGAGCCGTATTAGTATCTTTAAGACATTATTTGTAAATATTAGCCAAGGATTAGGAACAAGTGAATGGAGGAGCGTATGCTGGCCCTGAGCGCCACATGGACAAGAGTGATTATTCATTAACTTTAACCAGCTCTCCTGCCAAAATTACTTGTCAGATCAAAGTTTGCTAAAGGAAAAAGTTGTTCCTTTTAGCACAAAGTATCACGTCCTGTACTCCAAATGCGCCAATTTTGGGACACCCTGTATAAAGTGTGATTCGAAGAGATTGTATCTCCAGATTTGTACAATTGGGCAAGACAGCAGCAAATTGGTGGCCTTAAACTACCTGAAACGCGACGTCCAACACCGGCAAATCGTGATTGTACTTCAATCTCATCGTGTTGGCGTGTATGTCGTACAGTCTCACTGTACTGTCCCATGATGACACCAATAGGAACTGTGTGGAGTTTGGTCCAAATTCGACCGCGGAGATTGCGTCGGTCGGCGGTGACTTTATCTTAAACTCGGTCCTGGACTCCATCCTGCCGAAGATACAGTAAAAACAATTAGAAATCGGCGTGCTCGTGTTCGAGCTTCGACTGACGCTTGAACAACTGTAAATTCGTGGTCGCAGCGCAAGAGGAGTATTTCACTATTTGCGGTGAGCAAGAACCGGCAGCGTAAATACGAATGCCACGCAAAAACGTGTGAAGAGATAAGTTTTGAAGTCCTCGTAAACAGTATAACCTACAATTCTTACAAGCGTGCATTCAATCGAAATTTCTTTTGCGTGCTTACTTGATACAAAACGGCTGAGCGGTACAGTTAAAAAGAAGGCCTCCACGTCGTATACAGTACGTACGAACATTCGCGATTGTCACGTACGTGCAATACTCGATATAACGAGAGTTTGAAACACTACGGTTACCGCGGTCGTCCGGTCGGCGGTCCCTACCACGTTCCGTTCCGCCACCTTCCTCACTCTTTCTCTTTCACCATCTCTCGCTGCCTCTCTCTTCAATCGTATAATTCGATCCCAGGTATATATTTATCTTTCGTTAGTAACGTCAAATATGATAAATCTGCAGAGAGAACCCTGAGAACAATTATAATTGTTTTTATTGTTTTAAATGTTTAATTTAATTTTTATATAAATTCAATATATTGTCGAATCTCCCTTCTCTCTAGATAAACAAATTTATAGTAGTCCGTGATGTTACCAGCCGAGAATGTCCTACATGGTGGCTACATAGTTCAAGATTCACGATATAGAGGCGCTAGTAATCGGATTCCGTTTACTCCGTGATAATCGTGAAGTTTCGTCCATTCCCGGAGCATCCCGGGACCCGGAGGCTTCACAGGCCGCAGTTCAGGACGCGTCTTTACGTTTTGGCGAAAATGGCGGAGAAGTCACGTCGTGTGGCGCAAACGGAAGATTTGTCGAATGTCGAGTTTGAAACCAGCGAAGATGTCGAGGTTATTCCTACCTTCGACAACATGGGTCTCCGCGACGAGTTGTTACGCGGAATCTACGCTTACGGTACGTAGTTTCGTCGCTCATCGTTTTGACTTAACCTCAATTTTTGCGCGGCTTATATTTTCTTTTAGATTGAATCCTAGATCAGATCTTTAGATGATTAGTTTAAAAAAAGGAAAACAGATCATTTTGCACATATAATCGACGCGATACCTGTTCCGTTGTGGCAAATCTTTCCTCGCAATCGTCAGCAATTTATGTTTACACATTTATATCTATGTTTATCACAATTTTTTTATTGCTACCTATGTTTTCTTTGTAGCTTTGTTATATCACGGTGTTAAAAAGAAAAACTTAATCATCTGATACCTAATGAAATCTGTAATGATTACAACTTGAGTGCTTTTAAACACACATGAGATATTCATCCCTTTTCTACTTCTACACAGGTTTCGAAAAACCGTCGGCCATTCAACAACGATCCATTAAACCTATCATGAAGGGCAGAGATGTGATAGCTCAAGCACAATCTGGTACCGGAAAAACCGCCACCTTCTCAATTGCAATCTTACAATCTCTGGACACGCAGATACGAGAGACTCAAGTTCTGGTTTTGTCCCCGACTCGAGAACTCGCCACTCAAATCCAAAAAGTCATTCTTGCATTGGGAGATTTTATGAACGTACAATGTCACGCTTGCATTGGCGGTACAAATCTTGGAGAAGACATTAGGAAGCTTGATTACGGCCAGCATGTTGTGTCTGGCACACCTGGCAGAGTATTTGGTAGGTATTGTATTTTAAAAAAATATATATATATTTATATATAATGTAAAAAGATTGTACTAACATTTGTATAAAATTGTAAAACTTCTAGATATGATTAAGAGGCGAGTCCTCAGGACTAGAGCAATCAAAATGCTGGTACTGGACGAATCTGACGAAATGTTGAACAAAGGATTTAAGGAGCAAATTTACGATGTGTATCGATATCTACCACCGGCGACGCAAGTCGTTTTAGTTTCGGCCACTTTGCCGCACGAGATTCTCGAGATGACTAGTAAATTCATGACAGATCCTATCCGTATCCTTGTAAAACGGTAAATAATTTATCTTTAATTTTCATTGCTAAACACGTGTGTGCATGCTATTTCTAATTAATAATTTCTAATTTCCAGTGATGAATTGACATTGGAAGGAATCAAGCAATTCTTCGTCGCTGTAGAACGAGAGGAGTGGAAATTCGACACGCTCTGTGATTTATATGACACGTTAACAATAACACAGGCGGTTATCTTTTGTAACACTAAACGTAAAGTGGACTGGTTGACGGAAAAAATGCGAGAGGCCAATTTTACAGTATGTTCCATGCATGGAGATATGCCGCAGAAGGAACGAGACAACATAATGAAAGAGTTTCGATCTGGTCAGAGGTAGATATTAAATTCCAAAGATAAAATTTTGAAACTTTATTTTGTATATAAAAATTTTAAAATTTTATTTTTTACGAGGAATTATATCAATGCATTTCTTTTTTTTTCTTACAGTCGCGTGTTAATCACAACGGATGTATGGGCGAGAGGAATCGACGTTCAGCAGGTGTCGCTTGTAATTAATTACGATCTGCCTAACAATCGTGAATTGTATATTCATAGAATAGGTCGGTCTGGACGTTTCGGCCGCAAGGGTGTGTCGATAAACTTCGTGAAAACTGACGATATAAGAATTCTCCGAGATATCGAGCAATATTACTCTACGCAAATAGACGAAATGCCGATGAACGTGGCTGATCTAATATAAAGTGCGAGATTTATGCGTATGAAGATTACAATATTTCGACGTACAAAGATTTCTTTAACTCTTCGATTATGTGTTAATGCGCAGGAGACAGTATAATTCTGTCAATAATATCACATGATAACACTTTCCAAATCAGTTTACTTGAAAACCCTTTAATGTCATCCCCTTAAGTTATTTTTAGTATATAACTTACACTATTCTTACAACAATAATATAATGAACGGAGAAAAGTATCGTCACTTTTATATTATGTTTGATCAAATAAAACTATTTGAATGTAGTATGTAAGAAAATTAGATTAACTTTGTTTCTACATCTACGTACATCAATGATTACACGAATTAGATTTCTTTTTTTATGAGAATAATTTTTTTTGTACACCCCTTACAGAAATTTAATGCAGTGCTTTTAGCACTCAAAATAAGTAATTTCCATTATTGGATTTCTGAAAGGGACTACAAAGATGTTGTAATTGTGTAAAAAAAAAAAAACTGAGGAGCAATGAGTAAATTTTGTTAATAAAGTATTTTATGACTTCAGTGAATCTTTTTCTTTTCTATGTAAATATTAGTTTTATCATAGAAATTAACGGTATTGGGATAATACTGTACGTTCTATACATATATATACACGTACAAGTAATCAATAACTGCTGTAGCTGCTCCATAGTTCAGATGGCAGCGCGGCATAGCACAGTAACATGCATTGAACCCGAAATGAAGCCAAAATAGAGGAACTAAAAATTGCACATTGACAATGCGTAACCCTGTAGATACAAGTGAGCATAGTTTATCGCAACAAAAATGTGAGTGAAATATTCGAGAGGCAATAATCGACTAGTAATAAGAACAATCACTTATTTTCGTGATAATAACATCGACAATGGTGTTACGAACGTGCAGCTTTAAATAATATACATATATATTGATTACAATATTAAGTACAATATCTAAATCAAGAAGGTAAATGATATTAACGAGATGAGTGACTAAACTAAAAACAGCTATAAGGTCGATGTGTACATGTAATCTTAATTTGTTTTTTTTTTCATTGCTGTATTAATAGGTTCTTTAATCAATTGATAAAGATTAAGGAAAAATTGAAGGAAATGGAGCAACAGAATGATTGCACGATTCAGAGAGGACAGCCGTTGCGTCGCTATCCAAATGACTACAAAGCGGAAGGACACTCCACATGTATGTGTCTGGAAATTGTTCTGAAATTATGGGATATAATTTTCAATGCCTATTATTTTTCTCCCCTTTTCCTCTATTTTATTGCAGTAAGTAAAACAATGGCGAATCAACCGCAGTACTCGAATACGGGAAGACCTACGATACGCATAGCCGTGTATCTGATGACAGGGGTATTCCTGACGATGGAGGTCGAACAAAACGCGACTGTCCAGCAGATCTTCACGATAGTGCAGTCGGAAGCGGAGCTGGGTCTGTCGAGATTCTCTTTGTCGGCCGCTACACCAGTTTTCGCACTGTGGCTGTGTTCCGCGCAGCTGGAGGTTCAGTTACGTCCAACGCACATGCCCGTGGAATTGGCTGCGAAATGGAATTACCTCGTAAACAAGTACAGCTCTCACACGGAAGATTCCGACGACGAGGAGCCGTTGCTATATTTTCGTAGAAACATATTTCTCCCCAGGTCGGAGGAAGAGCAGATCAAGGATATCAAGGTCCTTGAGCTGCTCTATGCGGAAGCCAAGTACAATGTCCTGCAAGGTACGGAAACGAAAGAAATAAGATCCTACGAAAGTAACAAAATATTTCTTTTATAATCTCTTCTCTAACGTAAATTTGCCCCTTTTGCTTTTCCAGGACGGTACGCGTGCGATGGTCCTGCACGTTACGCCAGTTTAGGAGCGTTACAAGCCCGAATCGAGCTCGGCCCGTATAACGCGCAGACCCACACCTTGGCGTTTTTCCATAGACATCGCGGCCGCTTTTTACCGCATCACTACGCCTCCCCGAGCCTCCTACTAGGACTGGGACTCGGACTGGGACTGGTGGGTGGCAAGGGTGCACCCGAGGCGCATCTTTTGGAGCAATACAAGCGAATACCTAGTCACAACGGTACCGCCAACGCAAATCCCAAGAAACTGATCAGGAAGTATCTCGAGTTTTGTTGGAATCTACCGTGTTACGGCGCGGCCTTCTTTCAAGGTCAAATCGAGCGACCCGTCAGAGGACTCGCGTCGTGGATCACTAATCGCGACATGCAGGTCCTCGTCGCGATCAACACGTCGGGGGTGTACATAGTCGACGACATGCAGTGCGTAAGTAACAGCCGAAGTTCTCGTTTAAATGAAGATCTTTGTATAAAATACATCCATAGAGTACATATAGCATAGTAACAATTGAAATATATTTATGTAGAGCTTGCTATTAGGGCTAAAATACTCGGAATTAAGCTGGGAAATGGCGAAACCGTCGGACGAGAATAATCCGGATTGTCTACCTTGCTTGTTCCTGCAATTTCCGGTACGAGAGAACGGAGCGCGTGTCTACAAGATTCTGCAAGTGTTCTCGAGACAGGTATAAATAAATCGTCTTGAAAATAATACACGTAATTACTTTTGTGAGAACGAAATATCAGTACAATAAAAAAATCGTCCTTTCAGGCACCAATGATGGATACTTTAATATCCGGCTTTGCGGAGGACTATCGCAATCAATTTCTTAATAGTGACAGCAACAACGACCAATCTGATCATCCGCTGGTTTTCCCCAGTGGAAGCTTCACAAATAAACTTAGTAAATTTACACTCGCCACTTTCGACGACGAAGGTATTTAACACTAAATGATCGTCGATATGCCAATTTATTTAAAACCGTTTGATTTATTGTTAAAAATCATTTTAGGTCGATGTATCGGTCAAATGGGCTCGTGGTCCTTTCGATAAAGTACATTGTGATTGTACATTTTGTGATGCCAATATACTCTCTAATAATACAAAATAGAGTACGATTTTTATAATGTATGAGAAACTCTTGCGCGCGAGCTACTTACATATACACCTTTTAATGTGATTCTTCAATTCTTCTGAAGTAATTGAAGATACGGGTTCTGCCGTAGACGCTCTAGCAGTGTTCTGTATCTCTGCGGCACCACATCCCTGTGCCGATTGAGATACGTTTCCAGCACGTGCATATTGAAGCTTATCTCGTTTATCTTAGCCAACATCTGTTCCTCCTCCGCTTTCGATAAGTCGACAGACTGCATGTAAATATTATAATATAATTATATGAAAAAAATACATCGATGTAAAAAAAAAAAGTGCTCAGCGCGAACGAAATGTACGGAGCGAATTGAGCTGCTGACGAACCTGCGTTAGAAGGGTTTGCATCTTCTCCAATTCCACGGCCTGCTTTTCGATCATACGTAAAATACGATTCGCTTTGTCAATGGACACCTGCTTGAAGTCACTCAAACAGTCGTCGCGCAGCAGATATGCCTCCGTTTTACTGAGGGATGCTGGATTGCCTATTCGCGCCAGGTACGGTCCCAATTCATTCAGCTCTTGCATAGCTTCGCGTTGACTCGTTGTTTTCTGAAAGTAGATTGCGAGACTGATTAATATTTAAAAAAAAAAAAGAAAGAATAAATTAGATCATTGATAAAATATATACCTCTAGTTCGGTTATCGTTTCGGCTGTTCGATTTATGTCGAATAACGAAACTGTGAGCTGCGGATTTAAATTTTCATCGGCTCTCCTTCGGAGAAACGCCGCGACGTCGGTTTCGACGTCTCTGATGTGGAGTACGGAGCGATCCTCGTCCTTCAGATGTTTATCGAGCGTGTAAAAGAGCTCGAGGTTTCTCTCCGGCGGTGCGGTCGGATCTGGCTGCGGGAAGAGATTTCCTCGATTACGCCGCCTTCCACTTTTTCGCCAATATCATCGTTTGCCATGGAGAAAACTTACGTTGTATCCGCGGGTCATCGCAGAATCGAAGACCAAACGGTCTCCCCTGTCCGCCATCGGTGGTTTTACGAATGTACGAGTAGCCCGGGTACACCGATCTCGATCGTAATGGAATTCAATGGAGATCTCATTTCCGATCACCGCGAACTCGCGCACGGCCACGTCCCCGCAGGCCGGAATTTTCTCATTCCTGTGATACTTCTCGACGATTTTCTGCGAGATGCAAAAACAATATTAATTGTGCAGTGCGCCGTAAATTTCATCGATTTTTATATCGGGCGAGCACTACCGAGACGCGTCGAGAATGGATATCGTCCTGCACTGACTTGGCATTGTTTTGGTCCACCGAAAATTCAGCGTGCCTATTAAAGTGATACGAATGTATTATTTTATTATATTTCTATTACATTTCTATCTTCATCATGTCAGTTTATCCCGAGAGATTCTGATGCGTACTTGAGGTATACCTTTTCATACTGACGCTCATTTTTAGCGTCAAAAAGAGATCACACGATCGAAATTGACGAATACCAAACGTTAATTTCAAACATGTGATCCATTTTCGAAATCGTACCTTTACATCGTTGAAAAGAAATCAGATCCCTCGAGCTTCACACGATTCTTTCAACCGCACGTACAAATCTTTCTTCATGGTTAGGATCGCGGATCGCCGCAATCGACAATAACGCCATCACTCCGCGGGTTCGCGACTCGCGTATCGGGCAGATCGGGTGCAATGCAGAGTGTCGCCCGTCGGGTGCAATCGGTGCAACGTAAACAGTAGTCGAGTGTCGGGTGCAATATGTGTCCTGCGAGCCGAGCCGAGTGTGACGTGTGCAGACAGCGTTCCTTCGAGAGGTGCGAGCGCTATGTGCCGGAGTTGGTATAGCCAACGTTAATTACATTTCGGGGGACGACGACGGGACGTCGAGTCCGCGCTTCGCACGTCGAGTTTCATTCGAACTTGCACGACTACTCGCCCGCCGGCGTAGTAAAGTAATACGTGAATCGTCGATAGATCCTATAAGGACGCGTAACACGAGAAAACCGGGAAGCCAACGGGCGTTAACCGGTTGGCCTCGTTAATAATAACCGGCACGTTCGCGGAGTTTGTCGCGCGTGCTCTCGACGTCGAACATCTCAGTCGCGTGTTTTCCGAGGAGCGGTCCGAATTCGCCGAATAGTCGCTAATTTGACTCGGAGCGGGTAGGGGCGGGGCGAGGGGGGGGGAGGGGCGCTGGCACGGCGTGAACGCGAAGCGATCGGGGCAAAATGGCGCGAGCGCGCGGCGGATTGACTCCGCGTCGGACGGCGCTGGGGGGACGCCTTTCCCCCCCTCGTAAGTATAATCGTCGCGATCGCCGCGTCTTTCGACGCACGTTAATCGCGAGATGCGAATCTTCAATATATATTGCACGTACACGGGGATTTCGCGAGACGCGTAGCAGATTCGACCAAAATTCGAATATATATCCGCGCGTACCCCCTCCCCCCTCCCCTCTCCCTCCTGCGCCGACAACCGTACTTTCGCGCGACGAGCGATATTTCGGCGATATTTCAACGTACTTTCCGAGTCTCTCTGCAGCTCGAACTCGCGCGATTCGTTCATGTCGCGATACGAGGCAATAATCGTCGCAAATTTTCCTCGATTATTCGAAGTACGAATGTATATCCGTGCGTACCCCCCTTCCGCCCCACCCCCCTACCGTTGCCGACAACCGTACTTCGCGCGATAAGCGATTATTCGGCGATATTTCAACATACTTTCCGATTCTCTCCGCAGCTCGAGCTCGCGCGGTTTGCCCGCGTGTCGCGACACGAGGCAATAATCGTCGCAAATTTTCCTCGAAATTATTCGAAGTGCGAGATGGATGAATTTATGGGAGAGGGAGGAGGAGGGGGGGGGGGAGCAACAGGTAGCGTCGCCACGTTAAGTTGCAGGCCGCGCGATCTACGAATTTTTATCTCCATTTTTTAATTCGTCGCATTACTACCAGTCGTCACGGGCGCGTCGGGCGCGGTAGCGAGTTCTCCACGCGTTTACTCTTTATATCCCTCCGTCCTCCGGTTTAACGCGAGGCACTCGGCGCCATTAGCGCAAGTCTTTTTGTTTTTGAGCTCGACGGGAGAGCCGTGTGGAGACAGAACGATACGCAACGATACGCGAGTGACAATGGTTAATCCGCGAAGTGTTGCTCGTGATGCGCGTGTGCGTGTGTGTCGCGTGTGTTTATGACATTGCCAGGAAACGAAAGCGACGGCGTAAGCGAGAGGAGGACTGAGAGGAGGAGCCCGGGCCCGGGGTGGCGTCAGGCAACGGCGGGGCAACCGTGGGTAAGCGTCTTGTAAATCTTGTAATTGAAGGTTAGATCCATATCGGTGTAATTGCGCCGGCTCAGAGATTCGAATATCGTGGTGACAGTCTAATACTTGTTTCGAAAAAAAATGAATCGCGACGTTCAACATTAATTATCCTTTCTTGCGTAGGCGCTGCAAATTGAGCTTAACGAGATTATACCGGTATCGGATCTGCAATTTATTATATATATATATATATATATATATATATATATATATATATATGTATATATATATGTATTTCAATTTTTTAATAGATATTATTAATATCCAAATAGTTTATTTTATACCGTATTTTTTATGCTATTTATTTTTTCTTCAAATTGATTGTCCATTTACGTGTTACTTTCAATTTTTATATCAATCTGTGTAATACGATGTGTAGGAAATATTTCAGATTTTATTTTGAGACATGCAAAATATTTGTATGTTAATAATATTTATTAGAAAATTGAGAAAAATATAATACTTAAAATACTTGAAAATGTCTAATTGTAAGACAGATTGAAATGATTGATTTGAAATTATTTAGATAATTTGAAAGAGAGAGAATTAGATTTATTTATCCAAAAAGTAAAAATTAATATCTGAAAGAATCACTTTTTAAAAATAATGTAATCTTTTTTATTGTTTTATTTAAAAGAAAGAAAATAGAAAGTTGAACATGTAGTATTTATTTTTTAAGATATATTTTTTGAGACACGACTTTTTAATATTTGGATTTATTTATATTTTACAGATTACTCATTACAACTCCGCTGCTGCGCTTCGAAGACTGGTGAGTCTTAAAATATTTTAATTTTTAGGTAATGGATTTGTGAGAAAAAATCAGTTAAAATCAAATAACAATTTTTTATATAATTTATATACCTGATTTTTTCTCACAAATCCATTACCTAAATTATGTAATGTTGTATTATTTTTATTAATATTTATAAGTATTGATAAATATTTTTACTATTAAAGTATTTATTAATATTTATAAATAATTTATTAATACTTATAAATATTTTAATAATAACAATATTTATCAATACTTATAAATATTAATAAAAATAATACAACATTATCTAATAATGACGTTACATATTCATTATATGAGAACAATTTATACGTGCAGAAAAAATCGTGTATATAACTCGAAGGATCTGATTTCTTTTCGAGATGACTGATTAGAATTTTTCGAGAGAAACTAATATGACGAAAATAGAAATATATAATATATAATAAATAAACGGGAATATCGGTTTACTTGTAATACAGAAGATCCTCACGATCCACGTAATGTTGAGTCAAATAAAGCAGGCCCGTCTCGATGCGTGAGAGTCCGTCAAATTGCGCTCTATCGTAAAAATCTATCGTTCTTTCACCGTCTATTGAATCACTGCCGAATGCGAGAAAACGATGCGCTAAAATATTAATTTTCGTTATCATTTATGCAAAGCGGAACTCGCGTTACAATATTTTTATTTCGAATTGCACCTTTACAGTGATCCGGTCGACCCTTCACAAAGAAATCCGTTACGGTGTTTGTAGTGAAGTCTTTCCTAGATTCTGTAAGACAGTCACCTCTGTTCGAGTACTTCTCATAACTTCGGACAGGGATAGTATATTCGTAATCATCGTAAACGGTTACTCTCTGAATCAAGCTATCGGTTCGAGAGTACGGAGCGTATAATTCTACCTTGGCTTTTTTGTAAAATATCGTTTTACTGCCCCGTGGATATCGTCTTTCAAAATCTGAAAAAAGCATATATATAATATAGACAAATAAATATATAGCAGTTGTTCAGAGAATCATTACTATTATCTATAATAATTGATTTTAATTTCGGCTTCTTTATATGATCATATATATGTATATATATTATTGCCTTTCGCGCGAGCCTCGCGAGTGGGTGGTTAGGTTATATATATTATATATATATAGCCTAACCATCCCCTCGCAAGTCTCGCGCGAAAGGTCTATTTTTTAAGTTTATTTTAATAAAAGCAGAGAAAGTTGAAGTTATAAACTAATTATATATGATTTTTATTAAAATAAACATAGCTTTTATTAAAATAGGAAGCAGAGAAAGTTGAAGTTATAAACTAATATATATATAACCTAACCACCCACTCGCGAGTCTCGTGCGAAAGGTAATAATTATGTGTATGATTATATAAAGAAGCCGAAATTAAAATCAATTATTATAGATAATAGTAATAATTCTCTAAACAACTGCTCTGCTATTATTAAAATAGATTAAAAAAATAAGAAATAGACTTAAAAAAATATCTATATATTTACATACCTAAACTATGAATTCGGATTTCACTCACGTATGAGACCGGCATGTCCAAATGCTTCTCCTGTTTTATGGCAATGTCTTCCTCGATTTCGTCCGTGTCTTTTCGCACGATTCGCGGTTCACCAGGAAGCAGATGCTCCCAGAATTCGATTTTGCTCAAGTCCCAATTTATTTTCGCGCAGCCATTACCGCGAGGCTGCATATTCACCCAATAATTTTTATCGTTCCAAATACTCTCGACTCCCAGATACAACAAACTAGTTTCCTCATCGGCCGGGTTATAAGACATTCCGGAGGAAGGCTCGACGAAGATCGGTTCGGTGATTTCTCGGTTTCTCGCACCATTTTCGTCCGGTAAGATAACCACCCACGCGTGTATTCGATGACCGAAATATTTATCGGGTTGTGGACGTTCGAATTCCTAGGACCATAAGACCGAATAAATAATCGCGATGCGGATCGACATATAAAATCGTAATCATAAATCATAATCATAGTCGGTACAGTAATCTCTATGAAGGGAGGGAGAAATCTTTACAAAAAGTTTTTTAATCTTACAATTAATTTATCTCCATTACGAAAAAGAATCTCTTAAATTCCGATCATGCATTATATTTAGAATAATAAGATTAATATTATTAGAATAATAAGATTAATAAGAATTATAAGATTAATATTTATTAGATGTAAGATATATTTATTAAATCTTCATTAAGCAACTACTACTAAATGTATTAAATAACAATATCAAAGGTAAAATGGCACTTTCTTTCACATATACGTACAGCGATCATCCTCTGTCGCTCTTCTTCTTGACGTTGTAATTCCGCCTCCGTCTTTGCTCTCTCGCGATCTTCCAACTCTAAGAGGAATCGACTCCTGAAATCGGGCGGTGCCTTTAACTGATACTTGACTGTTTTGGGCTTGTCGACCGGCGGCGGTACTTGCTCAATCTCCGGCAGCAAATACGGACAGGTTCTTCTGGTCGTGTCGCAGAGTACTTGCTCGCGCGATGCATATCCGCTCACTACGAACGCGTTGTAACTCTGTCCTAGCAGTAAGCTTACTAAAAGCGTTGCGCACTCGAAACTATTACCCTTCTGAAAGTCTAACACCCACGTCGGCGAGCGCAAGCGTTCAGGCTAAAAAAAAAGAGATAAACGATAATGTTGCGATTTATTATTTGATGTTTTATAGATATGAATATATATCTACGACACGATAGCATTCGATTTTTTAAAACTACATTTTTGTTATATTATTGTCGAATATAACTATGAGAAATATGCAATATATGATAATATTGCATTGTAAATATGTTTATTTTATGAAGCATCTCTATAATTATATTATGAATTTATATTTATTATTTATAATAACAATCGTAATAATGTATGATGAATAATTTTACAGTTCTCCACTATATCGTCGCGCGATATTTAAAATTAAATTTTCCTCTAAAGCTCGAGTTACCTCAAAGTTATTTGTTCCGTATTTTAACTACAATTGCCGTAAGAAGGTGATAGCTTACGACTTGCTTGCCTAGCTACACTTAATATTCATGTTGGTTACGTCAATCCTTAACATTATACACTATTGGTAATTATCGAAAGAGATCGATCTATCCATCTTTATGTACTTCTTCGATAAAGAATACTTTGTACAATGTTATAATCAGGGTTGTGCATCTACGCGTAAAATATAATATTCTACGTTTACGTAGACAACGTAAACTATTGTGTGTCATCTATGTAGACAGTCAGTAGACTATATATTTATTCATTTAATAAATACATATAATTTAACGTTTATCGGAAGAGCACACGT